TTTATATATGTGTATACACATGTAGTAGGATACAGGGTAGTCTAGTGAACAAAAAGGAAAACACTCACAAGCACTTACAACACATGTTGTGCAAATGTGTAGGTAGTGCAATTGTTACAACACTTTCCTTTTACTTTCTATAAATGTAATTGTTTGTCTGGACTCTTGAGCATTTCTTCTACACTCTTGTATCAATAGTTGTGATCTTTATTGTCTGTTAGTACTGTAGTATGTCTAGCTTTTGTTCTGTAGCCTGCCTGAAGCATTTTATACTTTTCTATTACTATACTATTAAGTCTACTCTTGTTTGATGAAGGAGTTGCTTTCTCCTCTTCCTAGTACATTCTATCAAACTTGTACATTCTCTTATTCAAATCCTTAATGTTTATCAAACTGTAGAATGGGCTAACATGTCCTATGTCTATCTTAATTGCTCTAGCTCTTACAATGTGTCTAAAGGTCTTACTTGCCTTCTGAAAATCTTGTTCCTTATTAGATCTCTGTAATTCTAATGTCTGGCTCTCTTAGCCTTGTCTGTTACTCTTGTTCTTTAAGTCCTGGCTACTTTCTTTACTGTCTAAAAGGGTCTTAAGTGTCTCATTACTCTCTATATTACTGTTGTTAATGTGTTTCTATTCTAAAGTAAGTGTACTCACTAGATACTCATCCACACTCTTACTAATACTAACTATATACACTTTGTAACTCTTGTACTAGCTGGCAAATTCCTTAATACTTACTGTTAGCTCTCTATATTAACTTAGTGAATCCTCAAACCAAATTGCCTGTCCTCTATTAAGTGAATCCTCAAACTTGGTAGTCTAAAATTGATTAAGCAAATCCTCAAGCTCAATTGTCTGTACTCAGTCAGTTGAATCCTTAAACTCAACCTTCTGTACTTGATTGGACAAATCCTTGAATCTAATTGTCTGAGTGTTTCTACTCTCTATACTACTATTTGCTATTTCTTTGAGCCTAGTAAGGTTAATACTTGCTAGTGTCTACTCTACAGTATATATTTGTCTAACTATATGTACTAGTACAATTACATGTCTTAGTTCTACATTATTAGTATATAGTAGTTCATTAGAGTGTCTCTAGCCTTGTGTAAATAAGGACTTATTACCTAGTATAGGTTTATTGAGTTGTCTCTAGTTTACAAGGAACAAGGACTTACATTCTAGTATGTTAGTATTAATATCCAGACTTGAGTACCCTCTAGGAATCATTAGTCAAGGCTTGGCAGCCACATTATAATTAATATCTAATAGATAATCTTGTTGTCTATTACTTGTAAACTCAATACACACCTGTTTGTTCCTTTTTGCCTTTACAGATGCCTGGTCCTTGACTCATCCAATTGATGCAAACCTCTAGTGTATCTAGTACTAGTCCATATTAATATGTAATAATATGTTCTAGAAGTATTCTGTAGCATTATAAAGCATTATGAACCTACTAAGGGCCAATCTAGTAAGTAATCTCTGTTTCTACTCAAAAATCATAACTTTACTCACTAATAATTCCTGATAGGTACTAGACAACAAGAGAGACCTAGGGTTGATTAAACTCTTTAGTTCCTTAGTATCTAGTAAGAGGTTTTAATGTTAGGTGAGTATAGTTAAAAATATGTAAGGAAACTCACTGTTCCTTACAAGAGAATTCTAATTACTCTTAGTTTACTCAACTACTGACTAGGATAACTTAGTACTCAAGTAAGGGGTTAGGGGAAAAGAATCCCCTTTACTCAGTAGTCAATACTGTCTTTTATAAGGGTATACATGTGTAGATACATAAGGAGAAAGTGTAACTAACTATAATGAGAATATATATACTTGTGAGTCCTACTGTACAATGATCTGACACAATTAGTAATGTAGTAATAATAAAATACAAACTAGTAAATCAAATCCTTACAGCTTAATACTAATGTTGTACAACTAGGTTGTCTTCTACAGGTAGTACAGCCTCTACCTTATTCTTTTTCAAACAGTATTTGTAATGGAAGACAATGAATGTGTTCTTAAGTCATTTAATGTAGTCTTAGTTACTAAGACTTAGTCATTACTTAGTCTCTACAAGTTGAATTGTGTGTACCTGTTAGTTGTAACTTATAAGGTTGTATGTGTTGTGTAGGTTGAGGTTACACTTGTGAGAGAAGTTGTAAGACTGTCTAGCTAAAGGTGTGAGTATGAGTATTAGTATTAACATGAGTAGCTAACTAGAGTAAGGAGATGAATGTATTATAATAGTGTGTAGCAAGTGTGAGTAGTGTACTAGGGTTGTGATCCAGAGTGTTGAACAATATGATTTAGACTGTAAACAAAGCTGTGTTTGTACCTGTGTGTTATATACTCTGACTATGTCTCACAATTAGAGGTACAGTAAACTGAGTTATTAGGGATGACTGTAAAGGTGTATCTCTAGGACATTCTAGCTCAAAGGGAGGAGGAGAAGTGGAAGGTGTAGACAGACTTAACTCAGGAGGGGTAAGTAGTAGACTACTACTTCTGTTATTTGAAACAGTGTTATAAATAGTACTAGGTAATGTAAATGTATGTCAAGTATAGAATGGTAGGTAGGAAAGGAAAGTACATGAGAGGTCAGAGAGAGGATTGCACCTTAGGAGTAGTTGTACATAGACATTGTTACAAGTGTGTACTTGCTAATTGTTACTTGTACTGTAGAGTAGGAAGAAGTATACAAATGTATGGAATTATTAAAGAAATTGTTTAGTATTAGAAACAATGTGGATGTATGAATACAAATTCAAAAAGGAAAGCAAACTAAAAGAAAAGGAGAACAATAATAGAGAGGCAACTGTAGAGGAGCAGAAGGGAGACAAAAAAGTTAGGGAGAGAGAGATGAGTATCTATTATAGTACTTATTATAAAATGGACTAGCTACTTACACTTTATGTTGAAGGCAGAAGGGGATGCTAAAGTCAGCTGTATAGTATAGTATAGTATAGTATAGTATAGTATATTACTAGTATAGGTCTCTAAAAAGAAACACTAGGGCTGAGTTGTATTGTTGTAGAATCTGAGCTTAATACAAGCATTATAATAACTGATTAGAGAGACAAGTACAGTAATGTCTTAGCTTATATAATGGTTGAATATTACATAGGACTTTACTTAAATCTTGAGTGCTACACTTGCTCTTGTTGCTTGCCTTTAACCTCTGCCTACTCTCAACCCTCTGCCTTGTGAATAGTAGTACTTGTTACTTTTGTTCCCTCTAGTCCAGTCCTCTACTTGTTAGCAGGCACACTGTCTGCAACTATGTAGACAATAATAACTCACTTTATATTTACTATACTATTATAATATACATGTTACATTTGAGTACTATACATTTATTAAGTTTATAACCTCTCAAACAGAGTTTCTATTTATTATAAACATTAATAGAACTTTAGTACACTTTATAAGTGTAGAAAATGCTTTTATATTATATTATACAGTAGACACAAGTCTTTTTCTTCAAGTAAAATACTATAATAAAGTATTTACTCTTAATGTATTTTTGTTAAAATATATTTACTTAATATTTAAAGCTATTATAATACATATACTGTATTATATTCATTAATAATACTTTTAGAACCTTTATAAGATGTATAAGAATTATCTTTACTTTATAACCTTATTAAAATTCTTACAGTTACTATATAATTTATAAATAATGTGTATTCTACTATATAAGAACTATAAAGCTATATAAGAAAATGGACTTTTCCCTGACAATAGCTCCACATAAAGCAGGTACACAAGTTGAACACATGGCTGCATTTCCTCCAACAGACCTTGTTTCATCCTTTCTTCAAATACAACCTATTGAGAAATAGCTTGCTGCCAGACTGCTAGAGTATTCCAAAGATTCAAGGACAAGACTAAGAGTGTGAATGAGGATACTGTATACTTGCTAATCAACCCAAGGCTGCTACCCTTCAAAATTCGATCCCAGTCCCTGTCCCTGTCATCCGGATAGACCACTTCATTCTGAGACAGTTTGCCAGGTGAAGACATTACTAAGCAAATAATGAGCTTTGGAGAGTCAAACAAGTTCCAATGATTTTGCTTGTAAACAGTTGTTACTATACCACACACAGCATGCTTCACATGACAGGATTTCTCTCACAAAGGTATTGAAAGTAGAAGTGCTAGTCTGACAATGCATCAGCATTAAATGTCGTGTCCCGACTCCCCACCCCAATAATATGATACAGATATAGAACCCTTCCAAAATCTGTATATTTTCAGGGAATATTTAGCTTAATATTATGTTAAGTAATTAATTTGCTAATGCGTTGTACAGAGTTCGTAGTTACCGTACATAAAACGTCAAACAGAGGACACGTCATGCGAAACCCTAGTTGCCACGTTTCCTAAATTTGAATATGCGTCACAAAAGACTGTAACACAGTCTCAGTTGCATACAGTCAGGTCAGACATTTGTCACAACAGATAACTTCCTGACTCACTCTGAATGTTCGTCTTTCGGTTTTCTCTATTCAACAGCTTACAGAATTACTATTAGGGCCGAGAGACCCGAAACCGTCTTCCTAAATCGTCTACAGCGTTTCCGGAAAATGATGACAGCGAGGGGATTTGCGTCGTTTTTGATCACCTGCCTCATATAGTAGGATTACCATGTATAGTGGTATTACACGTGATGTTCCACCACTACAGAGATTTCTTTGTACACTGTAAAACTTTCTTGAAGAAATACAAAAGGTCTTCCAAACATTCTCAACACACTATTAATTCACATACAACTACATATCTCTTGATTTAGAGTGTTTCACTAGTCTTCCCAAAGGCTGCAGTAATGGTGAGAACTGCTTGCTAATACAGGCTTGTCACGTGCTATAATACCATATATAGCCCTCCTACTATATGGAGCAGGAGGTAAAAAAACGACGTAACTCGGATCGCTGTCATCATTTTCCGGAAACGCTGTAAGGCGATCGAAAGTGCGTTGCAATCTGATTGCATCGTCGGTCGACCTGCTTTCGGCGACTCCTTCACCATGCCCTTAGGACCAGCTAGACTCTGGTTCGAAGAGAATGCAAAGTTCATCGTACCTCCGCATGAACCCATTAGCACCAGTACCTCTTCTAGCCTAGTTTCGGGCTCGAATGTAGATAGACTCGAAGTTCAAGCTCCTTCGATCGCTGTGTTTGATGGCGGGATGCACACAAGGCTCATACAATCTCTCGACCTTGCCCTGGGAGATACTCTACTTCAGGCAACTCCACAAGGCAGTGCTGGTTACACAGACGAGGAGGTGGATGGCATTTATTCTCGCTTGTTTGCTGACCAAGTCCGGCACAGGGATGGCATACAATACGATATGTGGGAGTCCTTGTCCAATGAGGTTGTAGTAAGTATTTCTTGTTCCTGTAATCCACTATCACTCACCAACCCATCGTAGTGCAATCGCCTTATTGACGTAGCACTGCTGCACGCTGTGAAGTCTGTAACGTGGAGAATGTTTGGCAGAAGGATTAGAACCAGGACCGAGCCTATGCCTCCAAGTCATGGTACAAACGCTTCGACAGGGAATTCTAAGGAGCGAGTCGATATGAAGGTTGAGGATGAACACGGGAACGTAGTGCATTTAGGCGAAGGCAAAAACCCAAATGTTATGAGAGCACTCGACTCGGAGCTCAACCGTCAGGTTTTCAGTATCAACCTGACTGATAATACAAGCAATGGCATAAAGGTTTTTAATAAGGTTTGTGTGTTCGGCCAAGGTACAGAGTCCAGACTAGCAAAGTGACCACGAGTTTCAGCTCATTTACTATATGCTTCTTTGGGAACAGGATTGGATATGGGTATGTTGCTTTTCGAAAATCCGATTCTTCCGAATCCACAGGTTAGACGTGGGCGTCTTCCTCTCGTTTTCGGAGGGGCTAGAGCTGGATTTGAATACGGAGCCGTTCCGAGCTCTACTTGCCTTGACCTTGATCAACCTTGGGTTAGCAGAATATCATGATTTTGATGTAGCAAGAGCGATACTTGCAAACATCAGCAGGGTCGGCATCTCTCAAGGCCCCCATACTCCCGGTGATACCTATGGGTCTAGTGGTAGCCGAGGTCCAAGTTCCACACGCAATTCCAGTGGCAGTTCTCGTACAGGTTCAACGTCTACCCCGGGTTCAGCATCAGGGGGGCGGAGGCGTGCTAATACAAAAAAAAGTACAGGGGCAAAGAAACGCCCAAGTGGCAGGAAAAGTTGGCCCTTTGGTAAGCCAAGGGACACACCACCTCAACCAGCACGTGCAGGACTGAACATTTCTCTAAGGCACTGTCGTGGAATTTTTGACCATCGGTCGAAGAATAACTAGGTCTATGTCGGTCATCGTAAGTTTGTTTCACGCCTCAGTTCATCGTATGAACCTAACTATGCCTAGAAAATCAGCGCTACTCCAGGTTCCAACTTCCCTGTTCTGGGCACCGTAGAATTTGAACGTGACCCACGAGCACCGTTCCCCCCACTCCCGACATCTGCTCACCTAAACGTGCTTTATCAGGTTGGAGGAGCCACAGCAGGGCTTGTCTATGTGGCGGAACTGCACAGCGCTAACGATTGCCGTCGCCAAAATTACATTATCAAAGTCGTGCATCACGAGTGGCAAGACCACGATCAATATTTTAACAGCCCCGAGCAGCTAAAGAAAGAGTACAAGTCGTATTACCTGTTTGCATCGGCCAAACGTGCCGGCGGTTACGATGAGGTTTTAGAAAAGTTTACGGTTACCTGTTACGGGTTATTTCGACTTCGGCGGCAAGGTGAGCCACAGGACGTATTCGCATTAATTCTGGATTACGCGGGCCCCACGTTGCAAGTGCAGGTGGACCAGTTGCCAATGGAAGAGAAGTACGTCAATTATCTGGTCTGCACAGTCCCGTTAGTTAAGTGGATCACAGAAAATCGGTTTTGCGTGCTCTCTTGGGTCTTCATATCATGGGAGCCTACCACGGCGACACACACGAAAGGAATATAGTCCGTTGCAGTGATGGCTCCTTCAAGTTCATTGACTATGGCAATAGCGAATGGCACAAGTGTCCTGGAATGCAGAAATGCAGGGAGCTGGAGTCGGAAACGTGTAATGTCTTTAGTCTCTTCGGCTTCCGCCCACCTCCTATTGACGTCGCCGAATTTGAGCGCTCGGTTTTGGATCAATACCCATCGGCGCCCTACAACCTTGAGGAAAAAATGGGGAGAAACACACTCGAACGGATAAACGAAGAATCTGCAGTAAAGCGTCTGTGCGTGTTGGCAGCCGAGTATGCCCGGGGTTATGAGATGTAGGTCAAGTTGCAACGAATCCGTATCCATATTTCCAATTTTTTGCTGTTCAGAGTCCTCAATCCCGTATATTCTGTACTGCTACACAATATTAATCAATTTCACATTGTGTCCCCTTCTTTCAATGTCCAAGAAAGACCAGCACACACTGCAAGGTGCCAATTTCCCTGCAAAGGTCCATTATTGGAATTTCTCGGCGACAGAGCGAATGACACGGTAAGGACGGATCATTCCACTATTTCCGATTGGATTGTGTCTTTAGCATATTCTGCCTTAATGAGATTGTGTAGCTAACCCCAAATCTTGTTTGCCCTTTTGTATCCCCACTCCACATTGTGTACGTCCTGTGGTAACTGGTCCTTATTTTGGTAATGTGCCTGCAAGAATATAATAAAATTCGAATACCAACCTAGTTGACAGAAGAAACTTCACCTTAATAAATTTGAGACGTCTCACAATGTCAGAGAACAATGCCTCTGCATAGAAAATAGAGAATGGTCTGCAATTGTCTTGACCATTTTGCCACAGAATGAACTTCTGACAGAAAATGTTCAGTGGCTCAGAAGGACTGCCACATTGTCTGTTCTTCTGTGCCAACATTTTTAAGAATGTCCCAATATTCTGAAATATGTTTTGGTGTTCTTGAAGCTCAGTGTAGTAGGAATCAAATAGAAGCAACAGGTAACTCAAAAAGTGTGTTAGTAAGAAACAGTAGGAGGCTGTGGAAAACATACTGCTTATCAAAACCCTTAGCATTCTCCTGAAGGATACATTGGGGATAACAGACAACTGACAGGCAAAAATGGTCCTCCCTGATAAACCCTAGTCAAAGGCTGTTTGTAATGGAAATCAATCATTGTACTTGATATGTAACAGAATGAGTAAGAAATCCTTTTCAAATGGATCAATGTATGGCTCAGATGAACTACAATAGTACTAACAGTGAGTATGTAACAGTAAATCATTAATGTTATAGTGTAGTGAAGAAACTACCTTAATAATGACAGTCCTTTAGGCTTGTTTGTGTCATATTAAAAGAAGTCCCTTGTACAGAACCACATAATGCTCCTTTTGAGATCCAGATCTTTGCACCAAATGTTGTCTATAACAAATCTTTCTAAGGGGTAAGTGAAGTTGATAAAAGCACAGTTCAGATGTGTGTGCTCACTTTAACCTAGTGTCCACATACTGTCCAGACTACTACTTGCCTTTGTTAAGTCTTTTAAAGTCATCTGAAAAGAAGTGTACCTGTTCCCTGAAAGAAAGAACCTTCCTAATGTGAAGGTCATCAGGTTTGGGAACACAAAAATTGTAGTTAAATACTGTTGTTACTGTTTCTTACATATACTAGCAGGTGAGTTCTTTCTTAAGATACTCTTAGTTTAGTAAGTCTGGTAGTACTGTTGTAAGAGACACTGTAGGTAGGAAGATGTGCTTACTGTAAGTCCTTTTCCTTGTGCCTACATACAGTTATCACTTCTTCATCCTCTTGACTACTATTGTTATACAAAATCTCAGGTGTACCTAACAATATGTCTGAATCTAAAGAAGAGGTTCTAAAATGTACATTCCTAAAGAGCAGATATTCCTCACCAGATATGCTTGTTTTGACCAGATTAACCTTTTGTAAGCTGTGCTCCAACTTAGACAGTTTTGAAATTGTACAATCCTAGAATGTTAAGGTTTGACTCTAGGATTCATTACTATCCATTAGAGGAATCAAACAAACAACTGAGGGCCTGAGACTGTATTTAACACACTGTGTTTTACATCTCATTTACTAGTATAGTACAATGTATCTAGTATATAAGAGTATACATATATGTGTATATATTCAAGTATTATTCCAAACTCCCTGTTCTAACAGGTTATAAGCCTTGCTAGCTTGTGAATAGTACTATTAACATAAACAACACTATGAATGCCACCTCTACCTCAAACATCTACCCCTGTAAGGATTTGATTTACTAGTTTGTATTTTATTATTACTACATTACTGATTGTATCAGATCATTACACAGTAGGACCCACAAGTGTATATATTCTTATTATAGTTAGTTACACTTCCTCCTCATGTATTTACACATGTATACCCTTATAAAAGACAGTATTAACTACTAGGTAAAGGGGATTCTTTTCCCCTGACTCTTTACTCAAGTACTAGGTTATCCTAGTTAGTAGTCAAGTAAACTAAGAGTAATTAGAATTCTCTTGTAAGGAACAGTGAGTTTCCTTACATATTTTTGACTGTACCCACCTAGTACTGAAACCCCTTACTAGACACTGAGGAACCAAAGGGTCTGATCAACCCTAGGTCTCCCTCATTATCTAGTACCCCTCAGGAACTTTTAGTGAGTAAAGTTACAATTTTCAAGTAGAAACAGAGACTACTTACTAGATTAGCCTCTAGTAGGTTCACAATACTTTAGAACACTGTAAAATGCTTCTGAAACACATTATTACATATTAATATAGACTAGTACTAAATATGCTAGAGGTTTGTATCAATTAGATAAGTTGAGGACTAGGCATCTGTGAAGGTGAAAAGGAACAAACAGGTGTGTATCAAGTTTACAGACAATGGACAACAAGATTATCCATTAGATATTGATTACAATGTGGCTGCCAAGCCTTGACAGACAATTCCTAGAGGGTACCTAAGTCCAGATATTAATACTAACATGCTAGGATGTAAGTCCTTATCCCTTGTAGAGGCAACCTGATGAACTTATTCTAGGTAATAAGTCCTTGTCTATACAAGGCTAGAGGCACCCTAATAAACTAGTACATACTAATAATGTAGAACTAAGGTATGTAACTGTACTAGTACATATAGTTAGACAAACACACACTATAGAGCAGACACTAACAAGTATTAACCTTACTAGGCTTAGAGAAATAGCAAATAGTAGTATAGAGAGTAGAAACACTCAGACAATTAGATTCAAGGATTTGTCCAATCAAGTACAGAAGGTTAGGTTTGAGGATTCAACTTACTAAGTACAGACAATTGAGCTTGAGGATTTGCTTAATTAATTTCAGACTACCAAGTTTGAGGATTCACTTAATAGAGGACAGGCAATTTGGTTTGAGGATTTACTAAGTCAATATAGAGAGCTAACAGTAAGTATTAAGGAATTTGCAAGCTAATACAAGAGTTATAGAGTGTATATAGTTAGTATTAGTAAGAGTATGAATGAGTATCTAGTGAGCACACTTACTTTAGAATGGAAACACATTAACAACAGTAATATAGAGGGTAGTAAGACACTTAAGACCCTTTTAGACAGTAAAGAAAGTAGTCAGGACTCAGAACACAAGAGTAACAAAGGCTAGGAGAGTTAGGTATTAAAACTACAGAGATTTGATAAGGAACAAGACTTCCAGAAGGTAAGTAAGACCTTCAGACACATTGTAAGAGCTAGAGCAATTAAGATAGACATAAGACATGTCAGCCCATTCTACAGTTCAATAAACATTAACAATTTGAATAAGAGAATGTACAAGTTTGATAGAATGTATTAGGAAGAGGAGAAAGTAACTCCTTTATTAAACAAAAGTAGACTCAATAGTATAGTAACAGAAAAGTGTGAAATGCTTCAGGCAGGTAATAGAACAAAAGCCAGACATGCTACAGTACCTACAGACAATAGAGATCAAAACTATCAATCTAAGAGTGTAGAAGAAACACTCAAGAGTCTAGACAAACTATTGTATTTGTAGAAAGTAAAAGAAAAGTATAAAGTAAAAGGAAAACACAAAGTATAAGGAACAGAACAAAAACTGGAACTGTCAGACATTCAATACAATTGTGAAATCAATTCAGACTATCCAAGTGAAACAGACATCACATTTACAGAACAGTACTTTAAAGATAGCAAAAGTGAATGTATATTAGAACTATAAGAATGAGTACTTGATTCAGAGAGTAAAAACCAAGCATATACTTACAAAATCAAGTGTTTAACCTTATACATAGTAGATATCAACTATGTATTACACAGGAGCAATATACAGGACTACTACAATAGATACAACACCCTAGCCAGGTCCAGGAATAAGAGAGAAAGTGAAATACCTAGATATATATAGTCTCAAATAGAAATATTAAGTTTTTTAGAACATTAGAGTATCCCTTGCAAAAATAAAAGGAACAAACAATCCTATAGTAATACTTTGTGATTGAAAGCAGTCCCAGGCAAAGTATACAATAGTAGTATTAGTGAGAACAATATTGATTCTGAGTACAGTAAACTATACAGTTTAAAGCTACATATTAAGTATAGTAAGTATAAAAATAGCTCTAACTGTAGTTCAAGAACAAACAATGGACACAGGTATAGTAAAGTACTGAATAATGTTCAGAAAGGTATATTTACATTAGTAAGACCTTTAGAGAGCCTAGCAAAGAATAGTTATACATACAGAGTAATACAGAGCTCTAAGATACAGAGAAAGGGAAATCTTGACCTAGGATCAGACTCAGACAGTAATAATTTGGATTCCTCTTCATTCAATGACAACAATTGAAGTAATGCTTTATTCAAACTGTCAGACATTAATTTGAGTAATACAAAGGCTACTAAGAAGTACAAGAAACACTTGAGGAAGAAACAGAATAAAGAACTCCTCAAATTAAAGATACAGATATACAGTACAGAACTAATAGCTCCTACAGTATACTCAGGTGAACCAGACTTGTAGAAGTATACAAAGTTTGTTATTAAAGTTAATTAGTACATGAAACAATCAGGACTTCATTATTTCCCTAAGAGTCAAGTAGGGATAATACTAAGTTTTATTAAGGGAAAAGTAATGAATTTCTATTTGTAAAAGATTGCAAACTATGAGTATAGATGGACACTTGCTCAGTTCTTTAGAGGACTTATGGACTTTTGTTTCCCTTCTAACTTTACTGAAATACTATAGAAAGAGTTTAATACTTTAAAACAAGGTAATAGGAATATTCAGAATTATTTGTATAATCTAGAAATGAAAGTAATGAATCTAGGAGACATTTCTTAGTAAGATTTGACTAGACAGGCATAGTATGGATTGAATTCCAAGTACTAGAGGCAATTACAATTAGATTACTTAAATCCAGACACTG